CCCTCCCTCTGGGAAGAACTTGGGCTCCAGTAAGGCTCACAGGCACTGCTCTCCGGAAGGGTAGGATCTGCTGTCCCTCCTCCCCATGCGCTGAGCCTCCTCCTGGGGCCAGATCACTTCTCTCCTCACGTGGGCCAGGGTGGGGTCTGTACTTAGGAAGCTCACTCGCCCTCCCCTCTTTCCTGCCACCCCTGTCTCCCCCTTGCAGTTTACCTTTACTCTATATTTCAGTTCTCTGGGAATTGCTGAAGCCTCTGAACACACACACACACACACACACACACACACACGCACACAGGCACACGGCATCCAGAAAAGCACTAGACTGGGGCGTCCAATTCCTGGTCACTCTCCCTGGCTCCCTGGCGCCTGCACAGTGGCCTCCCCCACAGCCCTCTCTCTTTCACATTTGACATTTCTCCTCAGAGAAGGAGTTCTGCGGCCACCTCAGGAAAATTGTCACAGGGGTGTCACCGCTGCTGTGCATCGGATCTCCTGTGAAACTTTGCAAAGATTGCAATGCCCAGTTAATATATTTAAAAAGCTGCTTCGGCCCTGACCAGGTGACTCAGTTTGTTGGAGCATGGTCCCATGCACCAAAAAGGTTGTGGGTTCGATTCCTGGTCACAACACATACTTAGGTTGCAAGTTTGATCCTGGTTGGGACAACAGATTCTCTTTCTCTCTCTGTCTCTGTCTCTCTGTCTCTCTCTCTCTCTCTCTCTCTCTCTCTCCCTCTCTCCCCATGATGAGGACACACCCCTCCCCCTCTCCTGTTCACAGGGAGGGTCTCCACATCCTGTTAAAATGCAGATTCTGACTCGGCAAGTGTGCGGTGGACCAGAGCCTCTGCATCTGACAAGCTCTCAAGGGAGGTGGGTCTTACTGGCCTGTGGAGCCCACTTGCAATAGCAAGGTTGATGGAGGCACGTGTTCCCTGTGAGGGTGACCCACTCACCCCAGCATTGGCCTCTGCTGTGTCTTGGTCTTGGGTCTGTCAGCACCACACAGAGAGCCCCACAGGCCCCAAACTGGGGATTATTTCTGTTTGTGACACAGTAACCCAGCTGAGCACTGGGTCTGCCCCATGTTCTCAAATGTGCTGGGAAGGTTGGATTTCCTCCCAGCAGGAAGGCCACAGAGGTGACTGTGGGGGTGAGAAGGGGTCAACCTGGGTGAGGAATGCAGAAGGGACCTTCCCTCTATCTCAGGTTGTCACCAGTCTGGCCTTTGCTTTCAGGGACAGAGACCCAGAACTGGATGTCTCAGAAGGACCCGCAGTTCCTGAGTGTGAAGGGGAAGGTGTCCTGTGTGTCTTGGGAGAAGAAAACGGTGGTAGGAGTTCATGTGCTGTGGGCTCCCAGGTACGTGGGGAATGGTTTCAAGGACACCCTCCCTCTCTATTTCTGTTGGTTGAGCCTGTCCATGTGCTCCCTGACTGTTGGGGCAGCCTCTGGCCTCTGCCTGAGAGACTTGCTTGTGGTCCCCTCTCCTTGCCCATTGGTGGTGCCAGGCATGGGGTGGGGACCAGCACAAAGCCGCTGAGAGAGCTGGTGCTCCTAGACCCTGTCAAAATAAGAAACATCCAAACCTGTGGAGAACTTTTATGAATTCATTTGAGCCACAGTGAAATCATAGGCCTGTTAACAGGACCTCAAATCCTGCAGAGAATGGCCATTTTGCAGCTTATTTTATACATTACTAGTATAATCAAAGAAGATGAAAATAGTTGCATGAAATCCATTAGGAGGTTAGAGATAGTATATTGAGGAAATCCCTAAAGTTAACAAAAGGCAAAAGGGAGAACATATTGTTTTTTACTTAATGGGCCCAGGATCATTAACAGTTACAGCATGTAGAGAGGTTATGCAAGGAACCAGGTAACATAAGGAGTCTGTGGTATCCTATGCTGATCCCAGAGGTGGTGCCTTCAAATTGTCTTGCAAAGAAAAAATTACTCTGATATGTCAAAGTTATGTTATCCAAGATGCATAGAACAGGGAACAGGGCTCATTTAAGGTAAAGTCTGACCTTTGCTAAGGAAGCTGTAGGCCTGGGACATGACGACCTGCCATCACCTGCCCAGTTAGGAATTTGTGATCAGACCACACTGTGCAGTTACTTTTGGTCACTAAGCTTGTCAGTCCTGCCATGTGCCCCCATGGGCTTGTCAGGCTTATTTTACAGCCCCCCTTTTATTCACAGGTCCTAGAAGTAGCAGGTGGGATGGAGCAGTCACGAGGGCAGGGTCCAAAAGGGCCTGTGGGAGCAGGGGATGGAAATCAGGCTCCTTCTCCAACTCCTTAGGCAAAGCCAGGTTCATGTGTGAATTCCCTGTGTTGTCTGTGTGTTTAAATGTCGCCCCCTGGAGAGCAGGAGGAGACCTGCAGCCAATGTCAGGTGCTGCCCCAGGGATGCTGACCAGAGGGTAGGAGATGACCCTGACACCTGAACAGAGGTGGGGTTTGTCCTTCAACCTGAAAAACCAGTCAGTAGGGCCCCAGTCACTGTGGGTCCCAGGCCTCTTGATTTCATCCCAGAGCAGGGTGAGCCCAGTGAGAAGACAGGCATTGTCCAGAGTATTATGAGTCCAGTGTCCTGAGAACTGCCCCCTCTGGTGGATGTGCTGTTTCAGGAGGAGCTCTCTGTCCCAAAATTTTCAAAGGAAGGGCCTGGTGATTCTCTTCTGAGGCTTTTAGTAGAGTGTCTCAAACTTGGAGGCCTGATCCCCCAAATGCCCTGTGTGTCTCCATCGTAGCTTTGGGGTGTTGCATCCAAGTCATCTGTGATTCTGTCCATTATCTGCTGTAGGCCTCTCTGCATGGCTTGGAGCTGGAGTAGCTCAGATGGAGACTTAATCAGAGAAGCCTGTAGATTCTTGTTAGTGCAGTGATGGCGAACCTTTTGAGCTTGGCGTGTCAGCATTTTGAAAAACCCTAACTTAACTCTGGTGCCGTGTCACATATAGAAATTTTTTGATATTTGCAAACATAGTAAAACAAAGACTTATATTTTTGATATTTATTTTATATATTTAAATGCCATTTAACAAAGAAAAATCAGCCAAAAAAATGAGTTCACTTGTCACCTCTGACATGCATGTCACAGGTTGGCCATCACTGTGTTAGGGGAGGGGAGCCCCATGAAACCCTCAGCCCCTCTGACATAGAAGCAACTCCAGACCCTGGGTTCTCCTGTCCCATCCTGTACAGGAAGTCTCTCAGGACACCATGGGCTGATGAGATGCCTTTAGGGATGATAGGCAGGTGTACCACAGTCCATGGACCTTGGGGATGGGGAGTTGTCCCCTAATTCCTTTGAATTCAGTGTGGGCACCCTCCTCCCCTAGTAGTAACTCTACCTGGGGTGGAGGATCCAGGTGTCTGCCAGGTCAGGGATCTGCTAACAGTGAGAGGTCAGACCTCCCTTTATTCCCTTAAAATCACAACGCTCCCTATCTCCACCTTGTGAATGATCCCTAATCTACCCAAGGGCCTGTCCTCCCTCCTGGCTGTAAGTGGGGTAAAGACCCAACCCTGGCCCTAGCTGTGTTGGCTCAGTGACTAGAGTGTTGGCCTACGTACTGAAGGGTCCTGGATTTGATTCCAGGTCAGGGCACATGCCTGGGCTGCGGGCTCGATCCCCAGTGTGGGGCATGCAGGAGCCAGCCGATCAATGGTTCTCTCTCATCATTGATGTTTCCATCTCTCTCTCCCTTTCCCTTCCTCTCTGAAATCAATTAAAATATATATTTTTTAAAAAGACCCAACCCTGGGACATCCCCAGGCACTTGCTGGTCTCCTCTCAGGCTGACAGCAATGTCTTCGTGTTGATAAGGAACATGCTCGCATTGCGTCACACAGGTGACAGGCTTCGATTGGGTGGTTTCCCTCATCATTTAATGAGTGTTTACTGAGCATCTGTAATGTGTCAAGCCCTGGGATGGGCCTTGGGACCTGAGGGAACAGGACATAGGAGGGACCTGTGCTCATGGAGTTTGCCTTGCAACAAAGACAGGCTCCCAGAGAAATCACAGCACCGAGGACTTAATCAAAATCATGAGAAGGGCAGTGAAGAAAAAGGTCTGGTGTGTCCAGAGCATGTACCTGGACTGTGAATCTCAGAGAGCACTTCTGAAGTGTGAATGGCCATTCGCCCCTTAAAGGACAGAGGGTGGTGAGGAAGAGCTGCCTGCAGAGGACTGGCCTTTGGTGGGCAGAAGTCAGGCTGCATGGAGGAACTCACAGAGTCTAGAGTGCGCAGCCTGGAGAGCGAGAAGTGCTGTGGACTCGGTGATGCTGGTGAGGTAGGACCTGCTGGGCTTGGAAACTGCTCCAGTGGGGTCAGCAGCCCCCTGGAGAGGCTGCAGGTCACTGAGTAGCTTTGCTGCCCTCTGCTGGACAAGCAGAAAAATGAGCAAAAAAGGTCATGCTACATTTTGGTATTTTTTTGAGTTTTGTATTTTCTACTCAACTTATATCTTAAGCAATATATCATGTGTATATATAATTTTAAACATATTTACTGAGTTAAAGTTGACATATAATACACTTAAAATATTAAAGGTATATAATTTAATAAGTTTTGCCAGATGCGTGCACCAGAGAAGTTACAATGAAGATAATGAGCATGTTCTTCACTCTTAAAGCCTCCTCAGGCCCTCTTAAAATTTCATTGTTCTTCTCTCCCACCTTCTTCCCTAGTGTTAAGGAAACTCATCAGTTTTCTGTCATTATAGATGAGTTTACATTTTCTAGACTTTTCTAAATTTGAATCATACAATATGTAATATTGGGCTATGGTTGGCTTCTTGACTCAACAAGATTATCCTGAAATAGTTATTTCTGTTTTATCCCTTAGTTCTATTTTATTATAGGGATGCTCCAAATTTGCTTATCCATTCACCCATTCATGGTCATTCGTGTTATTTCCCATTGTGGGTTATGACAGTAAACTTGCTATGAACATT